CTCAAGTCAAATGACTATTTCCATTCCGCACCTCGATACTCTCATAGACACATAAACTAATAGTTTATCGATATGGTATACCCAATACTCCCCAAAGTGTCCATGTGTCCATTACAAATAACAATTATTCATAGTAGTGAGAAATACTACAGTCTTCAAGAATATAATGCAAACCACATATCAACCTATCACGTATCATTAATATTCATTTCTTAATGATCATCGATTGAGGCGATTTGAGAGTTATACTTTATCAATTAACATCTCACTCTGTTAATAACAGTGTTAACTCAAGGGAGTATTTACTTAATAAATTGCAAATAATTAAACTATTATTTAAGTAACTACTGTTAGTGTTATATACTAAAAGCTTGACTTTGGATGATATTACACTTTTACCCTTTATGAATGAGAAACATGTTAGATTCATCAAGTTCTACGTTCTGTTGTTTTGCATTAGATAATGTGGGTCATCATCGGGCGAACCGAAGATCATACTATCAGTTACTCGCGAAACAAGAATAAGTGGTTCACAACCCAGATGGACATGAACACCCCATCGTGAACGGTTGTAGTGTCAACCGTACAGTTTATCTTGACTGATTAGTTGCACTAGTACATTTATGTATTGAACAGGATCCCAGAGAGGAGCAGTTCGTTTTACACTGATCGTCGTAAACGAACTAGGTCTCGGTTAATTACTGCGTACTCTTAGCCCGTAAGATATTAAACAAACATATATGTGTAGTACTTATTACTTTGATTCACATGGGTGAGGCTTAGTGAACTGGGCCAATAGACCCGCTGTCTTGGGTAATTTTGCTGCATATAGGATGTGTTGTTGGGATATTTACGGTCACCATGTGCGTTAGTTTGATGATGTCCCCGAATTGAGTTCATGAAGGATTATTATGCTAAACCCTGCAGGTGGATTAAATTCCGGCATAGTAATAATGTGATGAACGGGCGCTAGCTTCGGTGAAATAATAATAAATTAATTCTTGATTGTCAGTAATCGAATTAATTAATGGACATTATATCTTAAACATGGAGAGATAAATCGAGTAATTATTATTGGAGTCTCAATTGTAAATTAGGCTAGGAAAAGATGGTGGAATAATATTATGTTGGTGGCCTATTTAATATTATTTAATTAATTAAAATAAGTGTTTGGTCCACAAGTATTTTAATTAATTAAAGAGCCATTTTCCTAAGCTCCTAAGGGTCTGTAGCTCTATATATACATCATTAAACTCATGGGAAGAGAACACAATTCCACATCTTGTGAAATCGGCCGCCCCCCATCATTCTCTCTCTCAGTTCCCATTCGAGCTTTATCTTCTTCTTGTTGTTCCACCGGTACAAGATTAAGAAGTGTTTGAGATATACAGTAGAAGATCTTAGGATAAACCGAGACGAAATATATTTTATCGTACATAACTAACCGGAGGTCTGATCAAGACGTGCAGCATACCCAGACGACCGTCTCAAAGAGAGCTTTCCAACGCCGCCGAGATCGCAGCCATCCGACTACTAAAGTAGAAACTGGTTCATTTGTTCTTGAATAGCTTCTTTCAAAAGTGCTTTCGCGCCGCCATAAGGTCCCATGCTGCAAGTTTTGTCTTCATCTGTTTGATCCACTTTTTGATTCGATATTGTTCGTGCAACCCTAGGACGCAATTTGCAGTCAACTATTCATTGGTGTGTTGTGTACGGCCATTCAGAAGATCAGCCATATCGCCATAAATTTTAAGCCGTAAGTTCTCTACGCAAACTTTTAGATCCGTTGCGCATAAGTTCACGTTTTGCTATTGAATTCGTGATTTGTGCATAACGAGATCCTCATAGATCCCAACAACTAGGTCTGACATTGATTTGGAACCAAACCGACATGCACTTACCAATACTGAACTGATAATTTCGGTACCCATAAAATGAGAACTAAAACCGAACTGATTTGTAGTCAGTAGTTTCGATTTTGTACCGAAAAAATTGAAAAAAAAAGAATCATTTGGCAGGCTCCCAGCAATAATTAAAACAACATGCGCATGAAAAAAAGAACATTCATCCATAATTGCCCACTAACAATGATCCAGAAAATATTAAAATGAACTATATTGATTCTGTAAGAAGGCACAAAGAACATTAAAGAAAGAACTCGTGCTTTGATGGAAATTGGATAGCAATTGAAGATGTATATTTGAATTTGACAAAATCCTTACACTTGCTTCAATTTTACAAAACTAACACATATCACACAAACACATCAAATCACTACCTTGATTCGGTCAATCAACTTATACTTTTTCATAATTAGTGGGCATTTTTCACACAATGTTGTTACAAAACCAATTGGTTGGTTACCTTATGGAACCAACACCCAATGATTTTGCTCCATGTGGGGCTGTCCCACATGGGACAGCCCCACATGGAGCAAAATCATTGGGTGTTGGTTCCATAAGGAAACCAACCAGTTGGTTTTATAGCAATATTGATTTTTCACATAATATATCACCTCTCCCTCTCTCGATAACCTAAGCCCTTATATTAAATTTTATTTAATTTTATTTTTTCATCCTTATCGGTTCGGTTTGGTAAATCCAAACTCTTATAGGTTTGGAACTGATAGTAATTCGGTAACCAATAATCGGTTACCATACAAGTGAGTCAGTACGGTTCAACATATTCTCTCGTAGGTTCAGTTCAGTTCAATTCAGTTTTCGGTAAAAAATATTAGCCCTATTTAGTACCAATTTCATCACTATTTGATACCAGTTGTGCTGGAAATTTTGTAGTTGTTTTATTTTATCTAATTATTGTTAAATACAATGGGAGAAGCACATAGTGATATATTAGGGAGTTGTACATACACAATGAATTGTTTGTGATCTCTATGCACCTTGGATCAACTCTGGGCAAAATGTACACTTTCGTTGGTAAGAGGTGGTCGAATGTAAATTTGAAATCCGTAATGTTATGCTATATTGTGTCAAATGGAATGAAGCAAGTTAGATTGTCCGATGATGAGGATGTGAAAAACATAATTCAGTTGTAGTTGTGTTGGAAAGTAAGCATTCTAGAGATACTTGCCATTGAAAAAGGGAAAGACCGGATCATGCGGTTCAATCCATCCCGATGAGCATGAGCAAGTAATGTTGCTTTCTATAATAGTAATGAATTTATTATTGAAATATGATATGATTGTATAATATCATAGTTCATTATTTTCTTAGTGGTTCCACTATCTATAAATCTTTGTAATATTTTGTCATGAACGAAAGGAAATTGTACCGTGTGATGATTTATCAGAGGGAGAATCTGAGTTCTTATTGCAAGATAATTCGATAAATTCTTGGAAATATTGCATTAAAGGAGGGACAATTTTCAGTGCGCAAATGAATTTCAAAAGTGTGTTAAAAACTACGCGATTGTTAATAGAGCGATCTTTTAAGTATCGAAAAAATGATAGCCAGAAGGTCATTGTTTGTCGTAACGATGAGGATTGTCAATGGAGAATATATGTATCAAGATACAAAAGTGATCGGTTGTTTGTCATTCATAAGTGTAATCTAATCCATACTTGTGGAGTGTACAATCTTCGGACAAGGTGGCATCCGAGAGCTGACTCTCCTTTGGTCTCAAATATAATTAAATACAAACTGAGAGATGAACAAGGTTAGAAGCCTTACATTATATTAAAAGACCTTCACAGGGACTATGGCATGGAGTTGCAGTAGAAGAAGGCATGGTTGGGGAAGGAAATTGAAATGCATGATATTCTCGAAATAGACAAGAACTCTTACGACAGATTGACATGGTATTGTAGTACAATCGTGAGAGAAAGCCGAGAAGATTGTCGATTGTGAGATTGGCCTGTCGAGAATAAGTTTCTTCGACTGTTCATTTGTTTTCATGTCTGCCTTGTTGATTTTTAACCGGTTGCCGACTGTTGATATTTTTGGACGACACTCACATGAAAAATAAATAAAAATGTTGTTTGCTTGGTGCCGTGAATAAGGATGCCAATGATGTTTTGTTCACTATAACATTTGTCGTAATTGATGGCGAGATCGAAGATAATGAAGAGTAGTTTTGCTTGAAGTTATAATATTTTTCTTTCCTCGGGCTTACCAGTTTTTGGAAGCTTCACATTTATACCGACATAGTATGCTACTTAAATCCACCCCTACGGTTTTATTCGGCAGCCATCATGCTTATTGTTTGAGACACTTAATCGAAAACTTTACTAAAGAAGTAAGAAAGTTAATCATTATGTTTTTGCTATCTTAAATTAATAACTAATTATTTATAATAATTATTCATGTTTATCCTGGTGACATCCTGACAGGTGGCAATCATCTTATTTTTTATTTTTTTATTTTTTTTGTGGGTTTTGAGGAGCTACCCACTCCATAATAGGAAACATTGGTTCTTGATTTTCATGAAAGCTGGTATGCTTCTAGAAGACAAGAATTTGATATACATATAAATAATATATTGACGGCTTTGCCTCGTGCTAGAGACTTCATTATGGATTCTTACTCACAATGTTGCGCGAATTCTTTATTTCCTGAAGACCGATAAGAGATCATTAATAATAATCAAGTTGAATGTTGGATTAATTAGATAAAGTCGACACGATTTATGCCTATTGTATCCATGACAATGATACATGATCAGCGTGAAGTCGTGTCACGATTTATTGGTCAATTGTGCCCCGAGCTCAAAAAAANNAAAAAAAAAAAAAAAAAATATTGCATCTTGTCAAAATCATGAGAAATGAAATGAAATTCGTGCCCACAAAAAAAATATCACTAATATATGTCATTTATCTTCTTCACTAAACGCACAACACCATAATCGTTTTTCTGCTTTTTCATTTTCAATCTGATTTTACGCACATCGGGATAGTGTTCTGATATGTGCTGACCAATTAGGGTTATTCGGGGTACTCAAATTGAATTCTTCTCAATCGATTTATCTCATTGTTCAAAGAATCAATGGCTTTGAAGTCTGTAAAATCAATCGAGAATGCCCTCAACCTCGTGGAGACGAAGAAAGAAAATTTGAGAAAGGCATTTCAAGATTTGCAGTCGCATTCCTCTATGCTCTCCTCGTTCAATCTCACATGGCCCGATCTCGATTCCTATTTTACGTCTCTCCAGTCCGAACTCCTCCAGAAATTCTCGACCCTTCAAGCCCTCGAATCTTCCCAAACTCGCAAACCTAAACCCGCAAGACGAGTAGTCCCTTTCTCATCCGAACCGGTTCCTGCCCGGCCCGAGCTCAGGTCTCTCTGCGAAAACATGGACGCCTTGGGTCTATGTAGGTACATAATTGAGCGTCCCAAGGAAAGGACCGCCATTAGGGTCGAGCTGGTGGATGCGTTGAAGCACGCGCCCGACCCGGCTTCCTTGGTTCTGGATGCATTGGAGGGATTTTGGGACAGAAAGGAGGGGTCTTGGTCTAAGTCAAGGACGGCTTGTACGGTGTTGCTGGAAGAGATGTTGAGGGCTGGGTTGGAGATCCCCCCAGAGGTTAGGGCGCGTGCCAAGGCAGTTGCGGCAGAGTGGAAGGCCAAAATGGGTGCTGTGAATAGTGCTGTTAATGGTGGTGATGGAGATGAGGAGGGAAAGGAGGAGGATGGGGGTTTGGGGAGGTTGGGTTATTTGCAGCTTTTGGCTACTTACAAACTATTAGATGATGATGGGTATGATAAGGATGAGCTGATTGATTACGTTGTCTCGAGCGCTAAGTACCGGCAAGCTCTTGACTTGTGCCGGATTATTGGTCTCGAGAGTAAAATTTCTGGTACATACGAAATTGTATCTAATTTTGATGTTTTTTTTTTTTTTTTTTTTGGCATGCTAATATATCTGTGTAGAATGTCTTTTTGTCTATGTTAGTTGTGTCTTGCATGTTGGTATTTGTTTTTGTTTAGCATTTAAGAGTCGATGAGTAGGCTAAATTGCTAGTTAGGTGAATGATACTGTGGTGTTAAATGCGGTTTTATCAGCACACTTGTGGTTCCTCTTTGGTATAATAGAATGACCCTAGCCCGAAAAAGGGAGGTGCATGTTATAATGATTAGTGACTTCAAGAAATTAGAAATACTCACTGTTGGTGCAGAGGAGCATATTTCTTTTACATATGGCTGATAGAAGATATAAGCCAGTTGAGGCTGGTCTTATGAATTATGATGTAGTTCATATTTCTCTTTCCATCATGTGAATGAAGTCACTGAACTCATTTTTCATCAATGTTTGATCTCCCTATGTTTTTCCGTGAGGTATTTGTTATTGGTGCTTGCTTTTGCTATGATTCTCTACTTTTAGTCTTTGTAGAAAATCTTGATCGACTTTGGATTTTATCGGTTATATATGGTTTGCAACACTACGTGGCAGAGAATATTGTTTCTAATCATTTGAGATTGTGGAAAAGAAGGGACTGTATCTTTTGTCTTGGTATATCCTGTTGCACATGATGTGGGATGCAAAACTATGTATTCCCATATTCATCACACTTTGAAATTACCGTCTTCACATGGCATGTGTCCCAAGCCCCAAGGCACAAGCTTTTCAATGCTGTTCATCCTTTTCATACTCATGATCTACCAAACACCATAATAAGAGATACTTCTGCATTCACAAACATATAATCCAAGTTATTTGTAACTTATCATTTGAAAGTGAAGATTTAAGCTGGTTGTTCTGCATATGAAATCCAGCTTTGATTTTTTTATTTTTTTAAGTTTATCTAAATTTAACTTTAATGCTTTTGTGATATTTTCATGTGCGACTATGTCAAACTTTGATCTGAAAGACAATCCTTGTGGTTTGAACAGATGTTATAATGAGGCTTATCAGTAAGGGCAAACAATTTCTAGCTCTCAAGTTCATATTTGAGTTTGAACGTGCTGATGAGTTCCCTCCAGTGCCCTTATTGAAAGCCCATGTGATGGAATCAAAGCGAATTGCTCAGAAAGTTCGTAAGAATGGAAAGAATACTCGTCAGTCATTGGTAATTCATTTGCATACTTCTTCGCTTACTTAGCTGGGGTATCCTTGTGACTATTAAGGCATTAATATAATGAAGGATCGAGAAATTTATTTAATTGACTGGTCAAATGTATTTTTGTTGCTTTTTTTAGTTCCTTTTTGAAATCCTCTAATCATTTTTATACTTTATAAATGAAAAAGATAAGATTATATGACTTATACTATATACTAAGGGAACACATAATGAGAAAAACAATAGTCTAGCTGATCTGTGTACTATGCTGCTCCTGAGGCTTCAGGCACAGAGGGTGGCCCACAGCACCTTTTAAGCTCAAAGATGTATGAAGGCCCACCTTCTCTGGCTGGTGGCTGTTCTTCTGAGACAGAATTCTGTTTTATGAAAAATAAAATTATTTCTTAACAATTTCAAAAGCTTTTATTTTATTTTATTTTATTTTTCTGACATTTTTTTTGTTTAATTAACAATTTTATTTTATATTATTTTCCTGTGGATAAGAAAATTGAGTTCACTGCGAAAGACATGTTTTTCATAGCATTTCTCAGCTGAAGGCCCTGTACCCTTTTGAAGTGCTTCTTAATCTTAGTGGTCTCTCAACTAAATTAGGTGTTACAAAACCATCCCAAGTTGATACTTCCATGACATTGTTCCGAACAATGGCTTAACCTTGATAGGCCTTTGTTTCTTTCAGTAATCATTTGTTTTACTTCTTTTTCACTAGCATCGAATAACGTCTGCCCCTCTGGTATCCTGATTCTTCCAAGAAAAAACATTGTGCTGAGAACTGCATAGGTCAGATATTTTTTACAAAATTAAGAAATCAGCATACTTAACCAAGACTTTAGTTACAAGTTGTTGATGCCTACTGTAAGAGGATTTGCTGCTGAATTTCCGCCTCTCAAAGTACTTACTGCTTTATATTAATCTGTAGAATGATGCTGGAATGAAAGAAATCACTGCACTCAAGGCAGTACTAAGGTGCATTGAGGATCATGGTCTGGAATCTCAGTACCCTAAAGATGAGCTGACGACACGTATCGACAAGTTGGAAAAAGAGAAGGCCTATAGAAGGAGAACTGCTGCTTTAGCCCCGGCTTCTGTACCCAAACCTCAGCCGAAGGCAAAACAACCCAAGCAAAATGAGAACAAGCGAATAAAGGCAGCACATGGGCCTTCACCATTTATAAGGAAATTTAATTCAGCAGGTGCCCAATCACATATATTGTCCATAAACAGGCCTGGTGTGTTGCCGGACCATGCTGCTCCTTACGTCAGTGCACCTGCTGGGACCTATGGTGTGGTTGGGCCCGTTTTGGCTGCTGATCCTTATGGGGCCTCCTCGACTAACATGTATGGGTTGTCAGGGCCCCCGGTGGCCTTCTCGGGAAATTCATCTGCCACCATTCCTGGTGGTTATTCTTCTGAGGCACATTCACAACCTGGTTATTCACAACCTGGTTATTATGATAATAGAACGACAACTTACGATGGGTATGATGTGCCATCTCAATACCATACATTGTACTATCATCCACAGTAATATGTGGATTTTCCTAAACTTTGGATGGGCATGCATGTTTCTGAATTCCGAATGATCTTAGAGGAAAGGATTACCTATTTTCCTTAGTGCTCAGTATTTTGGCATGACTATT